CAACAACAACAATTAATGTGCATTTATTGTATATACCTGGTTCCTGTCCATTCCTTCAGGTCCTGCTAACCTTCTACGTTTTGACATGCCCATTGGAGCATAAACAGGATGTGGTAGAGGATGTTGAAAACTGTTATGGTAAACACGATGAAGTAGCTGATGTAGTGAATGTTCCAGATCATGTTCATGTTTGTACTTGGATGGTCCCAGCCCGGCACCAACTCCCATACCACTGCTATTTGCTATCGGACCAGTGCCTGTGTTTGTCATATTTTGTCCTTGTGCAGGGTTTGTTTTACTTTTTATATTGCTGAAACAAAATGAGCATAAAAATCAGTACCCTTATTAAATGAATATCAATTAGGTATCCAACTGTATAAATGACATTAAATTTCATTAGAAAACGAATGATAAAAATATCAATTAACAACACTGACGCACAAAATACTGACACGAAACACTTACTTTTTTCCATCTGAGTGACAAAGACCAACTAAAAGGTGGATTCCTGGGAAGATGGTTGCTGTGATCTGATTGCCAACCACAAGATGAGGTATTGATGGTGTGAGTTTGACTGCTTCTCTTGCCAACTGACTGAAGAGTTCTTTACAAAATAAGACATTCTGTGCCTTTTCCAGCTTCTGTTGCCATGGGGTGTCCACAGACACAAAGTCGCTACTGCTTAACTGTGCAGAACATATGTCCTCTTCATCTGGAATGAAAAAAATAATCTAAAAATATAGATTTTAACTGTTACAGAGAATACTACCCTAATATATCCTAAGTATTGTATCATATATTAAAAAAAATATAAGAAAAATAAATAGATGTGAATTGGAATTACCAAGGAAGCTTCCATATAAAAGAAAAGTTAAGCCCTTAGTAAATTGTGTACTGTCCCTAAAACATGACTTGTGAGCTGGAAAGAAGTAACACTTTGCTAATAAACATTCACACTGGTCAGAATAGAAAATATGGACTATGGTAGATGCTGTTAAAATAATAATTATCATTACACCAAGACCCATAATTTTTTGGCAAGACAAAGAAAACATTATAAACTGCATGAACTTCTTTCTATGAAAAACTTGTCTATTTTTGCTTCAATTTTTATGCATATTTCTAAACTTTATATTTCCCCATGCTTTTTACAGCCTAAATAAATAACTATAAGATAAAATGAGGAACTAAAAAACTAAATTTACCTTTTTTTATGCATACAAAAATATAAGCAGAGCCCATCAGTTCAGTTGGTACATTAACTCTAAGGGAAGACTGATGGCTTCGATTGGCAACTGGAGATACAGGAGATGCTCCTCCAGGTACTACTGCTGTACTTGGACCTCCTATGTCATCAGCTTTTGATACTTCAAAAATACCAGTCTGGCAATGAAGAATAATTTAAGACAAGTCAACATTTGCATCTATATATATTAGATTTGGTGTGATGGTTGAGTCAAATACTGATATATAAAACTTGCTGATATCTGACTACTCAAGAAATCTCTGATTAAAGTTTTTAAAAACTTAATGTTATAAAAAAAAAAAAAAAAAAAAAAAAAATGAGTATTACATTTTGAGAGAGAGAGAAAAAAAAAGAGAAAAGTATGCAAGGTAACTTACATGTCTGAACATCGAGCCAGCTGAACGATATGAAAGGTCTCCTATTATGGTGTTGCCAACCTTTTTTAACCTCCAATTCTGGCGAAGCCTCAGGAGTTCAATGTGAAAGTCAGGTACACTTCTGTTAGGTCTCCCCATCTCTGCCTGGGATGTGCGCAACCGCTCAGCCCCACTTAGCAGGGTTGTGGCCGCAGACTGAAGGCTCTGTTTTTGGGAGATACTTCCTTATCACTCAAAGGAATGTAAAAAGTTTCACTATTTTGAGTTAAATCTATGGTGATATACATCCTTGACGTTTTACAATACTTACCTCATACTAGTACTGTGCAAAACAACAACATAAACATCAACCTACTGATGACAATTTTTGGCACTCAGGATTATCTGACTGAATGGAATATTACTTAATTTTCTCAGAAGTACTCCAAAAATGTAGATCTAAACATGGTAGGATTAAATATCTTCACTGTCAGTTATAATAATAGACAGGATAAGTAAGTTTTTAAATATTCATTATCTTTTAAGTAATATTCCTTCAGAGTTACTTAAGTTACTGTATGTTAAAGGAAGTTCTACTGAAAAGTAATGATTACTGGTTTGATAATGTCCATGCTAGTTTGTTCACACTAAACATTTTTCCATGTGAACAAAAGGGTAGGAGAGAAGGATGTCTAAGGGATAAAACAAAAGAAAAGGAACACAACTTTTATGCTATTATGTTACTGGTACTCCACATAAGTCTAAGCCCCAGTTTAAAAGAAGCAATATCAGGCACACAAAGCCAAACTGAAAGCAAAAAAATAAATAAGTACACAATCATACATGTTGATATCAATCAATTCTACTAAATTAGCTGTGTGCTTACCTGGCTTATGTCACCACAGTGTTGATTTACCAAAGGATGATATGGGTTGTCAACTGGGGTCTGGCTTAGATGAGGATGGCATAATACTTCTCTAGGTACACTTCGTTTAGATTTCACTTGAACTCAAAAACTAACTTCAAATGGCAAATGTTACCTCTCAAGTTGCATAAAACAATATTTTCTGGGTAATAAACTCTTTAAGTCAATTCTAGCATTTTTTGCAAGGTATGATAAGAAACAATGAAACATGGACAGATACTATCTTATGACATCAAGTGCACTTTAATGTTGAACTTGAAACTTACCTGGAGAAATATAACTGGAGTGCAACTGTGCATGCTGCACCTACTGTGAATCTAGCAGTGCTTAAAATAGCCTAGTCTTTGTTATACAAATCTAAACTAACACTGGAGTCATAAGCTGGCTATTTGTAAGTAGAGTTAGCTTGACTCTTCTTTGCAAAAGAAAAAACTGATTCATTCAACCATGCTTGGGAAGTATAAACACAGTCTTTAATGTGGTAATCTTCCCAAAACTATTGTCAGTAATTGTTCTTGAACTGTTAGTATTAGCAGAGAATGAGGATTCTTATTTTTATTGATAATTTAGATGAAGACTTGCAATTGCTATAAGAATGGTTTTATCTAATGAGTATCAGTTTTCAATGCAATATGCTGTATCATACAAAGCCTGAACATTAAAATTCCATAAACAACCCTTGAAAAAAACACAAATATGGTTACACAAAAGAGCTGTTTTGTCATTCAGTAAGTGTGCCATAAGTTTACACAAATATAAAGTTTACACTGGTTTACATCATGGACAAACACATCCCTCTGAAAGACAAGGAGCTTAGGGCCCTAGCCATGAATATATCAATTTGTTATTTCTGGTCAAAAACATGAATCTGTCCATATCCATCTATATTCCTCTCTTGTCTCTTTGTCAGTGTCCTTTATTTTCCTTTTGCTTTTTTGTACATCACTCACATTCATTGCTTAGCAAGACATGAGGCCAAATCCTGCATCTCACAATATAAGAAAAAATATAAAATAAAAATGAAAGAGGCAACCCACTACTTAAGGTAAATGCTCACATATTTAAGGTCAGAGCAATTCAATTCCAATTTGTCATCTAATAGAATAAGGTGATAAGTGGCTAAAAGATCATGAAATTTCTTCCAAAGTGAAAAGAAAAAGAAAAGGAAACTGTCATGATTACAGAGAGTGTAAAATCTTAGCATATTATACTAATGATGAAGAACTTCAACTTACCCCTATCTGAAAAAGAAAGAGGCTCTGAAGTAAATTACAATTATGACAACAGAATCTTAAATTTAATGAGACTATTTCAATATCTCACTTTATTATCAAAGTAATTGTATCTTTTGTCCAACATATTGATAAAATCTAAACATATAATTTAGTTACAATGTGTATGTAATTGGAACATCAACTATTTATTTCTTTTTGTATGAAAGTACTTGGTTTATGTTTTTGTAAGATGTTTTATAAGTGAATACACTCAACAAAAATGGCTTTGAATTTATTGATGTTGCTCCAATTCCTCTTTTCACATGCTAAAGAGTTTTCTGTTTCTTGAAGCATTCATATTGAAAATTGAAGCAAATGGCATTTTGAAACATTCCAGAGAAACATCTATCAACACTGTTCTGAAATACACTGTGAATTCACAAATTACATTTCATGGCATTTCCATAAAAGGTAATAGTTAAAATTCATTCATTAAACATAAGACAACTGAAAAAGAGAAGGATGTACATGCTTTCTGGGCTTTAGGCTAACAAAATGCATCATTAAATTTGGTGAGTAGTTGTTGAATTAGAGCAAAGATGATGCATGGTCATTAAAGTTTTAAAAGTATTTATATGCAAGAACTTTTAATGTTTGTTTGTGCTGATATGATGACGCCACATGTTTATCTCATGAAAAGAACTTTGCTAATTTTCAGATTTCTGTGGCTTTAATTAGATATACTGCTATCACATTCAATTATATATAAAAAAAAAATGTTTTTTCAATACAACATGTAATTTCAAACAGCAAAAGTTCTGCAGATTACAAAATGATCACCCCAACAAGTTCCATACACAGTGAAACCTCACAATTTATAAATTTCAGAACCCTTTTACTCTTTCCTTATAACAGCCCTTTTTTCATCCATGTAACTCATCTTGTTACTTTCACATGGCAAGAGACAATTATGTTTGAACATTGTAGTACAACATGGCAGAATCTGTGTATTGTGACTGGTATGTATGTGGTGCTACAAAATGTATAAAAAGTATTTTTGTATGCAAAATTTACGATATTACTATTTGTTTGCAAAACTCTGAGGGAGTGTGTTCATGTTATAACAATAAAAAATAAAATTTGTGAGACTCCACATGTGAGTGAGATTTTTTATGAAATGTTATATGTAATATAAGTTTTCTTTCTTATTTTGCCTCCCATCCAGAAAATACCAATACAATAGTTATAATTTAAAAAAATGTATAGGTCAAAGTCGAAAACCAAACCTATTTTATTTAATGTCTAACTAAATAAAAAGAGTTTTCATACTGTTTGTTAACAGTCTTCCAAACTCCTCTTCATAACCATATTACATTCACCTAAACTGGTTTGCTGTCTTGATTTTCCCTTTCATGATTACATAAAAGATTCCTTCGTGCATGGAAATGGGATTTGGTAAGAGCAATTCATAGTGGCTTCAAATACCTGTTCTTGTTCTTAGGAGGAATTTTTTAATTATTCACATCCCAATAGAATTTCAAGAAAAATTTACAATCAAAACAGTTATGAATTTAAGCACATGTGAGCACACACACACACACACATCCCATAATGTATGTCTGATCATTCAACACTTGTTTTTTTGTTTTGTCTTTATGTTCAAAATTGTAAATACATGTTTCATATATGAATTTCTTAAGGAGTGTTTCTGGTAGTGTCATGTCCGCTTTTTCTGGTAGCACGTTTACATGGTCACGCATTGTTTGTGGATTAAACATTTCATGAGGCAGGTGTAAGTGCTGTTCGCTCAGGGTTTGCCAAAATGTTTTTCGTTTGTTTTTTCTTGTTTGTGCGTTGCTCATAATCTATAGTATTGTTTGTTATATATGTATTATTGACTTATATAATATTATATATATAAATATATTATTATTATATAGTTATAATATATATATTAGTATATATAATTATTCATTTATTTTAGTTCATAATAATGTTTTATATAAGTTTATATTTAGTCATATTGATTTAATATTCCCATATTAAAAATAAATACGCATATGAGGAGTGGATCTAATAAGGTAGTAGTATAGTGTGGTATAGTATATATATAGTATAGTATATTTATAGGTAGTAATAACGTATACTATATAGGGGTGATATAGTATAATTAGTGGTGTTCAAAAGGTAATAATACTCGAGAATAGGTAAAGAATGAAGTCATGAATGTTAGGTTATTTTTTTCTATCCTTTATAAAATCAAAATTAGCTAATATACATGCTAAAGTTGTGATTTTTCGCTAAAGAACTACACTCATCGTTTCGCATCTCAGCCTGAGTCCATGCATTATCACAAATTCCTCTTTTCATTTCTGTAGAAACTTCTCAATTGTTATTTCTAATCATTTATAACAACAGGTAAAGCATTATATCAAAACTTTTTACTGCATTTCTTACATAATGGCTAGAGAATAGTAGATACATTGCTGCAATTTGAAAATTCCACAAAATATTAAATGGAATTTTAATCTATATAATCAGACCGATTTTGTTCTGGACAATTTTACGCGCACAAAAATGAAAGGATAGCCTTTGAAAAATACATTTAATGTGAAGACTTCTCACACACTACTAAGACAATATTTTTGTAGGGTTCTTTTGTTGTATGACTTGTATCCTACTTTATGCAGCTTCCGATCTATATACTCTTCAAACCTTTCTAGTTAACTAATCATCAGATCTGTAATACTATTCACAAGCGCACTTAATATTTATAATATGCGCCACTAGCTTCTAAAATTTCTTTATATATAGGGGATTATAGATCATTTAAAGACAAATGTACCAATAATCAACTTTTGATACTTCATCTCCCCATTCGTATTTAATATCATAAGTTCAGCAGCTTTAACAAACAAGTAACAACTCTTATGTGCATAGAAGGACACAAGATAGACAAAAGAACTACCATATTTAACAATACTGTAAAATAATACTAAACGCACAGATTAACCTACTCTTCTAGTCACAACCAAGTCTGAGAAGGTTTATCTGAACAAGATGAAAGTTATTCAACTAATTCCAGAATCTTGTAAATAGTGTCAATCTTTATTGTTTTACTCTCCATTAATGATACTCATAAACCCTTCGTTACTATATAAACCACAAAATTAGCAACAAAACATGTCCACTAATATTAGCCATGACATCAATGAAACATTTCGAGTATAAGGCCTAATCTACTTTAAATTCCTTCCTATTTTAAACACTAGATTAATACAACAACCATGAACGGAAAACTAAATAGTATTCTCTCGAACTCGCCTCACGATAGCACACTGACATACAACATAGCTGCTCATAATAGTATCACATAAAACTAATTCCTTGGGGGACAGATTTGCAAATTAGTGCAGGGGGTCAACTATTTGTCTTACTATACCTATTTCGAAAACCTCTACAAGAAAATAATCGCCTACAGCGATGGTTCTCCTAGATATTTTTTTTGTAATCTAATAGAGAGGTTCTTTAATGAGAGCAGCATAATGTGTCGATCACCTTTTTGTTCTAAAGAAATATAGGATCTCTGTGGGAGGTGAAAATTCATTCACATTGTCTCATAATCAATTCCTGATTTTAGTTTTCTATATATATATTCAAAAATATAATTATTTTTCTTATCTCCTTCTTAGTGTCCCTTTTTCCATGTGTAGTTCTCTGTTTCATTTTTGTTGCCAATTTCTCTATATTTTTTTTTTT